TTAATATGTTTAACATCTTTCCAGAATGATTTCATGTTATTCCTTAGGAGTTTTTCAGCCATAGAGTCAGACCTCAGCTTTTGTTCATTTTTCGTAATAAATCTTATAGCATACTTTATATTCTGTGCTTGTACGCTTTTTAAGTTCAAATATAGGCCCATATCTGGGTTTGCCAGCAAGGGTCCAGGAAGTTGTTGCATCATGGACTCTACCCTTATATTCAGCCACATAAGTGCTCCACCCAGGTTTAATTTTGCATGCCTCTTTTCTTTCATAATAAGGCAAACTAGCCTCTATCAGCACCCGAATAATATTAGAATACATGCAAGAAATATCAGCCTTGTGGCTAACAGCAGTACAGTTAAAGTCCGTACATATCACAGCCTCTCTAGGTACAGTAATATCACGTAACAGTTTATCTGTGTCAGAACAGTAACAAGCAAGATCCTCTGCAGAAAGAGTAGACCAATCAAACCTTTCATGCTTTTGGTTAGTTTGAATTAAAATAGGTATAAAATCAAATCTAACGGCCAACTTTACAGGAATGTGGTCAGAAATAGGCATATTATACAAACAGACTTGCCAGCTTTTCTCCGACCGGCCATGGTTGTACCTACACGAGACGCAGGCTTGGCAACAGCCTGCTATCTTAACTGACGTTCACCCCGTTTCACAACCAAGCTCCACATTGGTGATTCGGGCAATGGTGTTGCTCCACCGGAGCCTTCCACCAGGGCAGCTCCATCCACATCAGGAAGCACCTGACCCTCAGTCCCTTTGAGGCCACACACAACGTCCCTCCTCTCACCAGTCATGGAATCAGTGCTGTTAGCCTCCACTGAGTCCAACGACACGCCACCCTGGCCTACACGTAGTTCCAGCGCACACACCCGCTTGTTCATATCCGCCGCAGCGGCCCGCAGACCCTTGCTAGCTTCGGCTTGCAGGTGAGCAGCTTGCTTCATAGCAATAATTTCGGCGTGAAGATGCTTCATTTTGTGAAGCAGACCACATACGTCCATGTTGGTGAAAGTCACTGGTGGCAGCTCATCTAAGTAATGAGACACAAATCTAGGGATATCCTCCCCACATTCATTCAATACCTTGAGGCATGCCTTAACATTGTTAGCATCTTTATGCACTCCTTTATAAGAAACATTACGCTGTGTAGTGACACAGACTTCAAAGAGCGTTTTCTTGGAGGCCTCAATCCACTCCGTATCAAAGGTGTTAACTGCCAACAAAACTATCTCATCCTGATTTAAAGTTCTTATTTTTACAGAGAGTAAGTGTAGAAACTCATCCTCAACTATAACTTTGCCATCTATTGTTGTATAAATCTTTGGTTTAAGATGACCTTTAGCAAACACAGGAGCTCCAGGTGCACGTGCTGGTGTTGCATTCGCCATGTTGAAGTATCCTGCAGAGGTCAAATTCATGCAAACTTCCACTCATGTATCATCAGTTATAGCTCCCCTAGGAAGCCTCCTTGCTCCTCACAGTAGAAATAAGCGCTATGGGATGTCCTTCATCATAGCACACTGGAACAACGTCCAGGCCAAGCACAGGTCCAGGACCAAGGAATGACATGACAAAAGAAGTGGGATTCACCTTCTATGCTCACTTTAAACCTGAGTTCAACACATGTACATATTGAGCATCGTTTTGTGGCATTACAAATAGGCAACTAATCATTGTCCAGTGTGCATGTAAAAACTAGCAGCTTCTAGTGCACATACATTGAGAATGGACTTTTCAGTGAAACAGAAGGCATCTTGTGTTTAGCTGTTTAACTTGTGAAACTGAACAGATTCTGGATTTTTAAATGGGGAAGAGGAGTAGATGTAAATTTGAAGAATGTCCAGCAAGGTAAGTGCACTTTTTTGAGGGGAAAAAAACATTACAGATACAAGTTATTTAAATATCACATCTGGGTCTTTAAACAAATCTAACAAGCTGTAAATCCTGATAAGGTTATGAGAAGCATTACTGAATACCATGTAATGACACAAAGAGCCATAATGTCACTATAGCAGTAGTGCAACTTTCCTTGGATTCTGAGACTGTACCTCATTTTGGTGGAAAACTATAAAATGTTACACCAAGAAAATGTTCATATTCTGTGGTCAGGTACAAAATTCTTTCCAAGGTTTAGTTAAGGCTGTTGTTTCAAAGTCCTGTTTGTGTGTGTGTGTGTGTGTGTGTGTGTGTGTGTGTGTGTGAACAGGAGTGATAAATGTCATTTTTCAGGATCTTTTCATTTTTTTACACTGTATTTTGATTAAATGTGGCTACAGAGGTCTCTGTAGGATTATTATGGCGCATATATGCTTTAGATTACCATTTTATTGTTAGATTGCCAAGGTCGCAGGTTATAGCTATACAGTACATTCAGAGATGCACATTTCACACTTTGACTTTTACTAACTGACAGATTTTTTTGCAACAGTTTCAGCAGTAACTGTGAATATATGGATGTTGATGAATACATCCACAATTGTCAGAGTTGACTAGAAGCATGTCTTTAATAGCAGAAGAGATGAGGGACTGCAAGGGTGAATTTTCTCTAAGTACATCTTGCAGACATTCAGCAATAGTAAGCACAGTAATGTGTGCACAGATTGGATACTTCAGCCTCCCTGTACAAACCAGCATCACGACAGAAAAAAGAAAAACAAAAAAACGAGGCCAAGCGTCATCACCAGAGGTGGAAATGTTGATTGGATTCAGCAAACAAACGCACACCTGCAGTTAGACCTGTACTTGCACACGAACCTGTCAAATGCTTCAGCTGCTCAGACAACCGTGTTTTTTTTTTTTCCTCAAGAATCACAGCAAAGCCTTATCTTATCCATTTCAAACTGTGATGTCTCTTATGATGAATCTCTAATGTGGAAAACTGGAAAACTATTATCTGGACTTGGCAGTTTTCTTTGGCTGGCCAACCCTTCCACGGTTCCTGCTAGGAGCCCTCGCTGTAGTTTTCACTCCCAATAAATTGTCCCATCTCTGCCTGGTTCCCTTGTGATGAATGAAATAGACTTCTTGTTAGCAAAATGCATCTAACACCTTACAAAGAGATGGAGGACCAAGGACAATTTGTAGTGTATGTGGAGTCCGTCACTGACTGCTCTGTATTACTATGGATACTGGCTGTTATTTTTAAAGAGTGTTTTCTGGCCACATAATAAATTAGCATCAAGCAATTACCACCTTTTAATTATTAAACATGTTGCATCTTTTCAATTAGCACAATATATTAGATTGTGTGTTATTGCTTTAAGCCAATTTGTTCTGTACCATATTTGTGCTTTTAATTCTAAATATGAATGGGAACATGTATGTTAATCAGATTTTACACAAACTCTATCTCTGTGTGGTTTGACTGTATACATTCCTATTTGATAGGAAAACTGATGTGACATTGGGAAAGATATCTTGTGACAAGCTGTCATTGAGCTGCTGGTAGTGTTGGGTGGAGGTTTCTGTCCATGCTGAGCAGCAAGAAAACAACCATCCTGCTGGCGAGGCACCATGAAATGCACAATTAGTCTTGGGTCAATTGCATTAGAGCTTCTCAAAGGCAAAAAGGCAATCAATGTGTGACTTTCTGCTTAATATAAGATAGATTTTGACATTTTAAGCAAAAAGTCAAGAGGCAGATTATTCTACTGATGATCCCAGTGGATAAGAGAGGAGATGAATGACTGGAATGTGAGTGGAGCAGGTTTTCCAAAGAGGATATCTTTATAAAAGTGCCACTCTAGGGTCATACTAATCACCATTGGTGTGTTGTGACCTCAGACCCGTCATCTCTTTATTATCCTTTGCTGTTAATGTATCTTAATGTATCTGGTTCGATATTCTGTGCCTGAATTGACTAAAAGTCTCCGATAAAGCAGTCACGTAAACGATTCCGGTGTTGTGAAGAGCCCCAGTGAATAGAGGGTACCAGGCTACCCTCTAGTGGCACAGAAAGGTGATGAACCGTGTCACCACATAAGTTGTTGTCTCCCTCAGATGGATAAAGGGTAAACGGGATGCCAGAACTGATGAGAGGAAAAGCCCTTTGTGGCGTAAGACGATGCGGAGGAAGCCGTGCGGGGAATTCCAGTGCATTAACAGGAGATGTTTACTTTATATGCAAATCTGCCTAATCACGCCAGAGGTATTATTTTAAGGCCCGATCTGCGTTTTTGTTCTGCCTTTTTAAGGAAAAAAGTGTTGTTAATGTTGGCTGGAAGGATCAAAGCCAGGAGCGAGAGGAGACCGAATAAAATGTACTTCTTGTGTGTGGGTGGGGGCTGGCTTGGAGAGTCTGCGGTCATTGTAGCTCCACTGTTTTACACAAACCCTTTATCAGTCCTCATGTCAATCTCAGTAGGGAAAACAGCCACAAGTGACGTTTACAGCACCCTCCTCTAGACCCCCGCATCATATAGACATAATAAAGTTTGTCGGGTCGCATCGCTGAAAGGACACAGGCTGAAATGTAAATGGTTGACCTTAGTGCACCATTTGTTTCTGTTTCATTTAGCACAATCTGTAGGAACAGTTGTTGTGCGTGAGGACGAGAATCAAGGGAAGGGCTGATGTGAGGTTCTCTGCAACATCCTTCTGTCATTTTGCCACGAAGGCCTGCGGTGCCGCTGCAGAGGAGCAACTTTATGGGAACATACACACAAAAAAAATATTCAGACATTCACTACCAACGTTCAAGATCAAGTAATCTAAATTTGTCAGCTGTAAAGGATGTGCCATATTGTGCAGAGGGGAGAGAATAAGCACATTTATCTTCCATACAAAGATGATCAGACTGATCATAAAAAGCCACTACACAGGTTGTAAGAAGTGCTAAAAGTCTCAAAATATAAAATAACTAGTCAACAAGTCAAATCAGTGCCAAAAAAGCAACATACACCCTGAAAGCACAGAGGCTTTACTGAGGATGTGATCAATTAATGATTCAAAAACGCACAGCATAATCCGCAGCTACTTACATAGAGGTGATGTTCTTGAATAACTCTGCTATGTCAACACTGGTCCCATTGTTCCCAATATCTTGTAGGGCTAGTAAAGGGAAAAACCTGCCGTTGTCGGACTTATTGCAATAGATCTCTGTTTGAGAGCAGATGCAGGTCGGCGGGCAGTCCAGCATGGAGCTCAGATAGTCCTGGAAAACACTCATCAGAAACAAAACCCTCCACCAACAAATCCGGATCGAATGAAACCATAGATCCATGTCTCCGGGCGAAGAGGCGCACAAGAGGTCCCGATGTCCTTTCGGTTAGAACAGAACAGGAGAGAGGAGAGGAGGAGAGGAGGAGGAAGGAAGGAATAAGGAGGACCGCGGTACGTCTGTACAGAGGATGCTCTATGTGAGCGTTGTAAACAAAAAAATGAAATATTATGAGGCTCCAGTCTTCTTCTTTGCCTCAGATGCATTGTGTTTTCCCCAAATACCGTATATGCTGTTGTCGTCGTCTCTCTCCAGGCAGGACCCGGACGACTGGCTGGAGAGCACACAAAATGAGAACTTGGAGCACTAAGTCCCTCCTACCGGCTACAGTCATACTGACACCTTCAGAAACAGCATGCAATCAACAGCAATTACAACTGCACTTAGATGAGGACTGGCGTAGGCTACTACACAGCGACGCCAGAGTAAAATAAGACCACAATACAAAGGATCTCACAAAAATATAAATGAAGAATGCAGGGTAATCCAAATGAATTATTAAGTCATTTAAAGACAAACTATAACAAATATTCTTATTAATAATACCATTTGAGATACTGTTAATACAGTAATACTTTTCAACAATGACATTAAAACGTTAAGCTAACTCCCTAGGAGAAAATAGATACAAATAAATGAATTAATGAGAAGATATTTCCAACTTACAGTTGTCATAATAAACAGATCAGGGCCCATAAAAAGTATTTACCCCCTTTTGAAGTGGTCATATTCAGCTCTGATACAGTATACAGAGTGTGTGAAAGAAGAATAAATTAAATAAAATTTAAACACATTTTTATAGCAATAATAATACGCTCATAGAGTGCACTCATACTGACTAAATGCAATCTTACACTTTGTTGTTTTGCAATGAATCAAAGTAGATTTAATATGATTTTACACTGATGATCAAAAAGGCCCTTTATTTATTTTATTTTACTATGCCCATTAATATAACAAGGGAGATCTCGCCGAGTTTTACAACTTCTTCTAGGCCATGCAGGCCCAGTGAGTCCCCTACTCCTTTTTTTTTAAATACATCCACTGTCACACCTGTTCAAGTACCTGAATCAACAGCTGATCCTGGAATCATGAGAGATTCAACATCTGTTTGGTTGTCTCTTGTTGTGATTCTCTAAGATTCTGACAGTGAGGGGACCAGTTTCATTTGGAGGCTGCATGAAAATGGTTTAATGTTGAAATGTAATTGTAAACGGAGTTTTTAAAATAATGTACAATATTTACATAATTTTGCTGCTTATTGGAGGGGGATACAAACTGTTTTATTATTGTGTGGATAGGAAGAGAAATGGGGTAGGAGTGATCCTGAAGGAGGAGCTCGTGAGGAATGTTTTAGAGGTGAAAAGAGTGTCAGACAGGGTGATCAGTTTGAAGTTGGAAATTGAAGGGGTAATGTTGAATGTAGTTAGTGGTTATGCTCCACAAGTAGGCTGTGAGTTTGAAGAGAAGGAGAGATTTTGGAGCGAGTTAGATGAGGTGATGGAGAGTATTCCCAGAGGGGAGAGAGTGGTGATTGGGGCAGACTTCAACGGGCATGTTGGTGAGGGGAACAAAGGTGATGAGGAGGTGATGGACAAGTTTGGTGTTAAGGGAAGGAACCTAGAAGGACAGACAGTGATGGACTTTGCTAAGAGGATGGAAATGGCTGTAGTTAACACCTATTTCCAGAAGAGGGAGGAACATATACAGTAGTTGCATATAAGAGTGGAGGTAGGAGTACGCAGGTAGACTACATTCTATGTAGATTAGGGAATCTGAGAGAGATTACAAAGTGGTGGTAGGAGAGAGTGTAGCCAGACAACATCGGATGCTGGTGTGTAGGATGACTCTGGTGGTCAGGAAGAAGAGGAGAAGAAAGACAGAAAAGAAGACCAAGTGGTGGAAGTTGCAAAAGGAAGAATGTTGTGAGGAATTCAGACAGATGTTGAGACAGGCTTTGGGTGGTCAGGAAGAACTTCCAGATGACTGGGAAACTACAGCAGAAGTGATCAGGGAGATAGGTAGGAAGGTGCTAGGTGTCTCATCTAGAAGGAGGAAAGAAGATAATGAAACATGGTGGTGGAATGAGGAAGTAGAGGACAGCATTCAAAGGAAGAGGCTAGCTAAAAAGAAGTGGGACATTGAAAGGACTGAAGAAGGTAGACAGGATTACAAGAAATTGCAGCATGGAGTGAAGAGGGAGGTGGCAATGGCCAAACAGAAAGCATATGATGAGTTGTATGCCAGGTTAGACACGAGGGAAGGTGAGAAGGACTTGTACAGATTAACGAGACAGAGAGATAGAGATGGGAAGGATGTGCAACAGATAAGGGTGATTAAAGACAGAGATGGAAAGGTGCTAAAAAGTGAGGAGAGTGTGCAGAGAAGATGGAAGGAGTATTTTGAGGAACTGATAAATGAGGAAATGAGAGAAGGGGGGAAGAGGTGAATATCGTAGAGAAGGAAGTAGCAAAGATTAGAAAGGATGAGGTGAGGAAGTCTCTGAGGAGAATGAAGAGTGGAAAGGCTGTTGGTCCAGATGACATACCCGTGGAGGTGTGGAAGTGTCTAGGAGAGATGTTTGTGCAGATTCTCAGTCATCCAGGTCCTAGTAAGCTGAAAAAAACTTCTAGTCTTGACCAGATGTACCCTGCAGAAACTCATAAGCAGGCCTAAGCATTTAACAGTCTAACTAGACATCCTCTCTCCACTAACATTTATAATACATAAAGTATCTATCCAATATCTATCTGACTAAAAATATCTAACAATTCCCCCTTTCGACACGACCAAAATCGTGTCGACCTAAATTAATGTCCCTTTGTCCCCAGATGCAGCCACCTAGTGTTTTGAGAGGTGAGAGGCCCCAACTCATGGCCACTCCCTCAAGCGTCAACTACAGAGCTGAGAACTTTAGGGAAAAATGAACTAAAAACACAAGAGGGG